TATCATTGCACTCCAGCCTGGGCAACAAGAGCGAAACTCTGTCTCAAAAAAATAAAAAATAAAAAAGAATATGAACAGATGCAAAAAAAAATTTTTTTAAAAAGAATACGAACAGATCCTCAACATTATTATTCATATATGATGAATTAAAAACCACAAATTAGGCCAGGTGCGGTGGCTCAACGCTGTAACCCCAGCACTTTGGCAGGCCAAGGCGGGCAGAGCACTTGAGGTCAGGAGTTCAAGACCAGCCTGGCCAACATGGTGAAATCTCATCTCTACTAAAAATACCAAAATTAGTCAGGCACAGTAGTGAACACCTGTAATCCCAACTACTCAGGACGCTAAGGCAGGAGAATCAATTGAACCCAGGAGGCAAAGGGTTTGGTGAGCCGAGATCGGGCCACTGCACTCCAGGCTGGGTGACAGAGGGAGATCCTGTCTCAAAAACAAAAAAAACAAAAAAAAAACCCCACAAAAACCCACAAATTAAACCCACAGTGAGACACCGCTATACACCCATTAAATTAGCTCAAATTGAAAAGACTGACTCTCATACATTGCTGGTAGGAATGCAAAATAATACCACTTTGGAAAGCAGGTAGTTTCTTAAAAAGCTAAACATACTCCTGCCATATGAATCAACTAACCTATGACGGTAAATACCACCTTAGATATTTATCCAAAGAAATGAAAGCATTTGTCCACACAAGACTTGTACATGAATGTTCACAGCAGCCTTATTGTTTGACACCCTAAAACTGAAAATAACTCAAATGTCCATCAAGGTAGATGGCTAAACAAATTATGGTATCCATAATGGCATTCTACTCAGCAATAAAAACTATTTTTCATCTCAAAATCATTATTCTGAGTGAAAGAAATCATGAAAAAAATGAGAACATACTGTGTAACTTCACTTATATAAAATCCTAGAACATGCAAACCACTGTACAGTGGTGCCTGTGGACAGGAGTGGAGGAAGAATGGCAAAAAGACATGAACAAACTTTTGAGAGAGATGAAAACGTTTATTATCTTGATTGTGGCAATGGTTCCATGGGTACAGACATAGGTCAAAGCTGACCATGGTGTACGCTTTAAATATGTGCAGTCTATTGTACTCTAATTACACCTCAATAAAGGTATTTTTAAAATTTAATGGATTGGCAGCCCTCTAAGGCCAAAACCTACTATCCCAAACAATGCTAGAAAGACTTGAAGGGGCAGGCGCAGTGGTTCATGCCTGCAATCCTAGCACTTTGGGAGGCCAAGGTGGGCGAACTGCCTGAGCTCAGGAGTTCAAGACTAGCCTGGGCAACACGGTGAAACCCGTCTCTGCTAAAATACAAAAACTTAGCTGGGCACGGTGGTGTGTGCCTGTAATCCCAGCTACTCGGGAGGCCAAGGCAGGAGAATTGCTTGAACCCGGGAGGCGGAGGTTGTGGTGAGCCGAGATCATGCCACTGCACTCCAGCCTAGGAGACAGAGCAAGACTTCATCTCCAACAACAACAACAAGAAGACCTGATGGTACCAACAGGCCATTAAGAGCCAAGTCCCATGTAACAACTCTTAGGAAACTCTCCATGTAGGAATATCTTACTATCAGTGTAGGACTCAGAAATACAGTACCCATATACTTTCTTATGAATAAGCAAAAGCATACTGAAAAGGCAATAGTTCATATGATCATAATTGGAGATTAAGTCAACGTGGTTAGGGAATCCCTCCTCCAGGTCTCGTGTTTTATTTTTAAAGGACTCAACAAAAACAATTCTCAAGTATTTTACAATATCTACCCATCAACCCCAGGACATTTGATTATTTTAAAAAACCAGATTAAGCTCAAACTTCCCTTTCCATACATATAACAAGAAAAAGTTTTGTTGCGATACAATGACTACCATAACTGTATTTATTTTATAATTTGTTGTCATCAGTGTGGCAACTCTCAGCTTCTGATCACAAACATAAAAAGTTTAGCCTATTTTCAACTCCTTTCTGATCTAGCGAAAAATTTTAAAAGCCCCTAGCTCATTCTTCTACATGCAAATATTTAGATTTCATTAGAAAAGTACTTTAGTTCATCTTGTTATTCTTTGTAAACTTATTTAATTCTACCCAGTCTTTAAAAGCTGGTGTTCTCCATGCTCTACTCTTCTCTGGTCTCACTTCTCACCATTGACTCTCAAATGCCACAATCTCCTAGGAAGCTAGTTAAAAATAAAGATTTCCACGCCCTAAACCCAATGATTCCAAATCTGGTTAATGCATAGGGACTCAATAATCTTATTTTTTGACAATTATCTCTAGGTGACCAAGGTTCACACTGAGAAACATCGCTCTAACCACTTTAACTAGAAGAGCCCATTAAAACGCTCAGCTTGTGGAGGAAAACATCATGTTTCCCATTATTTTTTACAGCTGATGATTCCCAACTCTGTATTTCAGACCAGCCGTTCATCTGAGGTCCAAACCTACTTGATTTTGTTCCAAATGTTGCTCCTCATTCAGAAAATCCTAGTTCTGTGAATTACACCAAAATTCACCTGATGGCCAAAGCCAGAAACCCATAGATATCCTATCTTCCTTCTCTTACTCACTTATCATCACAACCTGTACGCTCCCTATATGTTGTTCCCTATGTATTCCCTATGTATTGTTCCCACCACAGGCTGCATGTTCTTTATTAATCTGTTAGGCTATCATAATAACCTCTGAACCAGTTTCCCAGTACCCTTCCAAATCCATCCTTCATAATGCTGCCAGAGTGGCCTAAGACCAATTATCTGGCTATGTCATTCCCTCATTATCTCTTCCAGGATAAAATCCAAACACTGTAGCATGCCATAACAGGTCCTTCATGGTCTAGCCCCTACTAACCTCTCTAAACGCTCTCCCTGCAATCCCTCATCCTCCATCCCAGTCACACAGAACTACTTACTATCCCATTAACTTTTTCCACACGTTCACATACTGTTCTCTGTTCTGAAAAACCTTTCTCCTTCTCACTAACTGTATGATTCCTCAACTTTCAAGTTTCTACTTAGGAGTGACCTGCTCTGATAATCCTTCCCTTCCAAACTATCACTCCCTTTCCCCAAAGGCTAAATTAAATTCCCATTTAAAAATATTTACTTATTACAATGAACTCTGTTGTTCTACTTGCCTATCTCCCCTTCTAGATTGCTAGTTGTTTTTCATGCCTGTATACCTAACCTACTACAGAACTGGCACACAGCAAACATGTAGTAAATGTCACCTGAATGAATGAATCCATTTAATGTCTAGTTAACAAGAACGTTTTCTTTTGTATTAACCATGGAAAAACTAAGCACCTTCAGGGTACTAAATAACAAACCAGTCTTACAGCCAAGTAGTTTAAAAATACAAGGATTTCTTACAGCCATTTTTTTAAATCATCCATCCCAAGTTCATCACTGTATTTATGTGCATGAAATTGATGTCTGGAGAAATACGGAATTATCACTGAGTCACTGGTTCCATTTTTATTATAATTTGTACTCTTTTTATGCAAGCTAGGTTTTTCTCCCACACACCAGACTTAGACCTACACTGTCCAATCCGATAGCCACTAGCTACAGGTGGCTATTTAAAGTTAGTTAAAATTAAATAAAATTTAAAATTCAACCCCTCAGTCGCACTAGCCACATTTCAAGCGCTCAAAAGCTGTACAGGGCTAGTAGTTATACTAGACAGTGAAGATACAGAACATTTTCGTCACAAGAAGTTCTACTGGACAGCGCTGGCCACGAAATCACAAAAGAACCTTAGAAACCTAACTTACTTAGCAAATAAAATTTAAAATTCAGTCCCTCATTTGCACTAGCCACATTTCAACTACTCAAAATCCACACAGGGTTAGTGGCTATGATACTGGACAATGCAGATACAGAACATTTTCATCACAGGAAGAAGTTCTACTGGACAGCGCTGGCGACACAATCATAAAAGGACCTTAGAAAACCTCACTTACTTCTTAGCTCCCACGATCCTCGTGCTCCTCTGCTGCTTAAAGGTTGTGGGTCCCGAAGTCTAGCAAATCACAAGCACACGAGTGAGTGCTAGGGACCTCTGAACCTCGACCACAAAAAGACGAATTCCCCTATGCCCAGAGGAAACGAAGCTCTCCCGGGGCAACCACCTCAAACACAAGAAGGCAACACCTTTTAGGAAAAATATGCTGTCCTATCTTCCAGCAGTGCAAAGGCGGGTAACAATACCAGAGCCTTCGTCTTCCCCCATTCTCAAAGCCCTGTCCCAGGCTCTAAAAGGGAGGCCAAAAGAAAAGACAACGGATATGAGAGACATTGGGGATGTAAAAGGAATAGAAACTAATGGCAATGTGGCGAGGAATTAAATTCAAGGAGGTGGGGTACAAGCAGCAGAACGTGGGTAAAGAAAAAGGGGACAGGTGATCTGATCTAGAAGGGTGGGGCCTACGATGGCCTCTGATAAAACCAACTCTGAGCATGGGACAAAAGCGAGGGACCGCGTGTTCCGGGCTCGACAGCGCTACCTCTAAAGCATAACGGTCAAACCAAGAAACTCACGGCGGGTACAGCACCGAGTCTGGAAGACATCACTCCCTCTCCACGCCTAACAATTTCACCCAAAGGCTCCGGCCAGACCAACGCCACTTCCGCTCTCCTCGCCTCTCCCGGATGTGGGTTCGGCTCCGCCTAGCCCTCTTCTGAACTTCTACTTCCGCCTAGCAGCTTCCGAGGGGGCTGCGGCCGGAGCGAGTCACGTGATGAGTCACCCTCCGATTCCTCTGAGACCCCGCCCCACTGGGATTGCGACGCGGGACCCGGGAACTTATGGGTGGGATCTGGAGCGAAGGGGCGGAGCTTGGAGCCTCGACCGGGCCTCAAAACCCCTGGCTCTCATTCCGAACCTTTGCATAACTCTTCGTGTCCTTCCAGCCTGCCTTCCCCACCCACCCGCCCAGTGGTCTCAGTCCAGATGCACAGGGAGATCATGTACTGCCCCTTTATTGATCTTAGAGAAATTACAGACCCATTCTCACACGCCTTCCCCCGGTAGAGAGACATGGAAGCCTTTCCACGCCGAGGGCGCAGGAATTGGAGGCAGTGGCTGAGCAGGAAAGAAGCCTGGAAAGAGCAGCACGATGAAGACTTAGGACAGTGAATAATAGGGGCGGGCTTCGCCTCATCGAGTAGCTTCAGGCCTCCACACTTGTCCTGCTTTGGGATTTTTATGTGTGGTGCTGAGGAGACTTGTCTGATTCTTGAAATCTCTAGACAAACTATGGCTGGGCCTCTCCCCAGGGGAACTGTACTTGAGTCCCTCCTTAAGGGGACTGCGTCGGCTCCTCTCAGAGGGACTGCGATGGTTCCTCCCAGAGGGCCTCCCTGGCCTCATCTCAGAGGGACTGTGACGGGTTCTCTCACAGGAACTGCGATGGCTCCTCTCAGAGGGCCTCCCTTGCCTCATCCCAGAGGGATTGCAATGGCTCCTCTCAGAGGGACTGTGACAGGTTTTCCCAGAGGAACTGTGTCCTCTCCTCTCAGAGGGACTGCAACGGCTTCTTTCCAAGGGACTGAGGTGGCTCTTCTCTGAGGGACTTTGACTTCTCTCCGAAATCCTACGATGGCTCCTCTCAAAGGACCTGTGAGATCTCCTCTCAGAGGGACTGCGATGGCTCCTCTCCGAGAGACTGCGATGGCTCCTCTCAGAGAGACTGTGATGGCTCCTCTCCAAGGGACTGTGATGGCTTCTCTCAGAGGGACTGCGATGTCTTCTCTCAGAGGGAATGCGATGTCTTCTCTCATAGGGACTGTGATGTCTTCTCTCAGAGGGACTGTGATGGCTTCTCTCTGAGGGACTGCAATGTCTCCTCTGAGAGGGACTGCGATAGCTCCTCTGAGAGGGTCTGCGATGTCTTCTCTCAGAGGGACTGCTACGGCTTCTTTCTGAGGGACTATGATACCTTCTCTGAGAGGGACTGCGATGGCTCCTCTGAGAGGGACTGCGATGTCTTCTCTCAGAGGGACTGTTCTCAGAGAGACTGTGATGGCTCCCTTCCATGGGACTGTGATGGTTTCTCTCAGAGGGACTATGTATGTCTTCTCAGAGGGACTGTGATGGCTTCTCTCTGAGGGACTGCAGTGTCTCCTCTGGAGGGATCAAGAGCAAACTCCTCCGAGAGGGTCTAAGTGCCTTCTCTCAGAGGGACTGGCACGGCTTCTCTCAGAGGGACTGCTACGGCTCTTTTCTTATGGACTAAGTGATACCTTCTCTGAGAGGGATCATGTTGGCTCCTCTGAGAGGGACTGCTGGCGTCTTCTCCTCAGAGGGACTGTGATGTCTTCTCTCAGAGTGGACTGATATGGCCCCTCCGAGAGGACTGCGATGTCTTCTCAGAGGACTGTGATGTCTTCTCTCGTATGGACCATGTCTTCTCTCAGAGGGACTGCTACGGCTTTCTGAGGACTATGACACCTCTCCGAGAGGACCACCATGACCTCCGAGGACCGCCGCCTCCGATGGACCCATGATGTTTTCTTCAGAGGGGATTATGAGTGACTTGAGAGGGACTGCTGCATGGTCCTCCTGAGAGGACTGCGTAAGGGTTTCTCCTGAGGGACTGCGATGTCTTCTCTGTGAAGGATTTCATGGCTCCTCTGAGAGGGATCGCGATGGGCCCTCTGAGAGGACTGCGATGGCTTCTCCCCAGAGTGGGACTGTGATGTCTTCTCTCAGAGGGACTGCGATGGCCCCTCTGAGAGGGACTGCGATGGCCCCTCTGAGAGGGACTGCGATGGCTCCTCTGAGAGGGACTGCGAGGGCCCCTTTCAGAGAGACTGTGACAGCTCCTCTTGGAGGGACTGCAGTGATTCCTCCGAGGGAGACTGCGACGGCTTCTCTCAGAGGGACTGGAATGGTTTTTCCGAGAGGGACTACGGTGGCTCCTCTGAGAGGGACTGTGATGTCTTCTCTCCGAGGGACTGCGTTGGCTTCTCTCAGAGGGACTGCGATGGTTTCTCCAAGAGGGGTTATGACGGGTTCTCTCGGAAGGACTGCGTGGGGTTCTCTCCTTATAGAAGCTAGGGTGGTTGTGCTCCTTGTGTGTGAGTTTCTCTTTAAGGTGTCGGTGCCAGGTTCTCTTCACAGGGGAACCAGGTAGGATTCTTCCTCGGGCCTGAACTCTGGTTCCTGGTGTGGACAAGTTCTTAGACTCCTGGCTGGAGGTTTCATTTCTATAGAAGTTTTTCTTTGATCTGCTACTACTGTCCTTTTGAACACTTCCCAGAGGCTGCCCCATCGAGGCAGTTTGGAAAGCAGTACCACTTTGGGAATCTGTAGGCTTGGGCATTCTAAGAGGTCTGGGTTGGAAAGAGTGAGCTCTTCTTGGCTGTTGAGCTGATCTGCACTGGCCCGTTCCTCCCCACAATATGTCCTCCTGCTTAATGGTTGAGCCTGCTGGTGTTAGCTTGTCAGCCGACCTCTTCTCTCTTTTGATACTGCTTGGTAAGCAATAGTCCCTGGTGTTTTGTTTTGGATAATAGTTTTTGTTTGCCCACAAATTGTCTGGCCTTGTCCTGTCCCCAGGCTTCCGCCCAACAAAAGCTATAACTCTGTGTGCTGTTTGGAATGCCCGCTTTAGGCTCTGAAAAAGCAGTTGCATGAACTTGGGCTGGAAAGGTTTCTTAGGTTGTCTTTTTAAAGAGGCAGTACTTGTCTGAGTTGCTCCAATCCTCTTCCTTCTTAAATGGGCTGGTAATTCCCTAGAGGGACTCTCTATTGTGGTTCTGCTGTTTTTGTAGAACTTTCTGTGTTTTCTAAGTCCCTTGGTGATTCTCTTCGTTGGATATTTTGAATCAGAGGTCTTTTTGGTTCTCACTTTAGTCCGTTTTTCATTCTGAGTGCTTTCAGAGTCACTCTCTGGTAGGTTGTGAACTTGAGTGAATTCATAGTGCCCAGGTGCTCTAATTTTTGTCTTTTCTGCTAGGTCAGGGCTGCTGCGTTGTCCTCGCCTGATGTAGAATTGTACAGGAGCAGGGGACTGGGAAGGCCCAGACTGCAAATCTATTGTGGAAGTAGGACTCTTGGAAGCTTGAGTATAGATTTTAGCTTTCCTTCGTGATGGTGATATAGGGCTTCTCCATATGATGGGTCTATCTCTTTCATGATACTTTGAGATTTGGGGTCTTTTCCCAATTCGCAGCCTAAAGCCAAGATGCAACCGAATCTCACCATGGCCTTCAGGAGTGCGTACAAGATGGAGCTGTGGATAGATAAGAAGATAAGGCCCCGAAGTGGTCTGTAATTTATGATGGCAGTTAAGTCCTGAACATCGGCCACACTGTAGGCAGATAGGGTATTTTAGGACTAGACCTGAAGCTAGAGGTGGAGGCACATCGGGGGGTATTTGACTCCTTAAGAGTTTTGCTGCTATTTTTAGCTGCAGATCTTGTAGCAGCTGGAACTGTTCTGAGAAGTCAGTCTTAGCCTGGGAAAGATAATTTGGCTTGAGGGAGTGTTGGGACTCAGAAATCCTTGTCCGGGAATCACTCTGTGAGTCCTCACTTTCTTCCATTGGAACAAGATCTTCTCTATCATAAAATATGCTGAGGGAAGACTCTGACTTTACCAGGACAGGAAGCTGGCCCCCTGCACATGAGACAGGCATATGCTGAATGACTTCTTGGGATATACCACTGAACCTTGAATTTGTCTTTTTTATTCCCACTCTAGTCCCAGAATATTGCTGTATTATGGAAGATGTGGAGCCACGTGTCCATATCCTTAAGGCCATTCTTTTCTTATGACCATGATAAAAAGTATGTCTCTGAATGTAGTTTTTGACCACGGAAGGCTGAGAAATAGTAACTGGACCCTTCTCTGGCAGGCTCTGAGAAGCTTCCATCAGTTCAGCTGGAATCCCAAATAAATTCTGAATAGATTTACAGGTATCTGCAGTGGCTCTTTCTGCTAAAGATGTTTGAGAACAAAGTTTCCTTTCCATAGTGGTCCCTAAAATATTACCCAGCATTAGCATAGCAGAGAGATATTTTCTTGGTAGTCGCTGCCTCCAGGCATGACTCTCCCAGACATTGTGTTGTCTACCCAGGAAAGACTTGATGAGACCTTTTTGAACCCCTGATTCTGCCCGGAATGTCCTAGATAGTGATCTCCAGCTTTGTAGTAGATGTCTCTGAAGTGAGTTCTCTAGCTCCTCCATTTGCTTCCTCTTAGTTGTCTCTTTAGATATGACATCCACTCCTGGAATCTCAGGACATGGGTTTTCCACAGTGTTAGCTGTCTTATCAGAGCTTTGATTACGAAGGGCCAAGGGAAGAATTAAAGATTGTATCATAGTAGGGTCTATATAGGTCTCTTCAGGCTGCAAAATATCTGTCCCAGGGTTTTTTATATCCAAAGCTCTGTATACTTCCTGTATCCCAGAATCCCAAAGTCCTCCTAATTCAGATGCTGTTCTGACAGAGCTTGAAATGAGTGTGGTTGAAGAGCTTTGTAGGAACCTAGAGAAGTCAGTCCCTACTTGTAACTCTTCTGATGTTAACTTCTCACAGTCCCTATTCTGACACACCTGTCCTAGATTCAAATCCTTAGTTTCCATAACTTTAGGAGGCTCCGTTTTTATCACTGTAGATTTCACAGCCTGAAGCCCTTGTTTATGAGTCAATATCGTATGTTTCTCAAATGGAGATGTTTGCGGTGAGGTTAATTCTTCAGATTTCACTTGAATACATGGCCTTGGAGTTAATTCTGCAGATACTATCAGTTCTTGAAGATGTGGCTTTGGAAGTAAATCCACACAATTTATTGCTTCAATTCCTGATTCTAGGGCTACTCCTATTGGTTCTACAACCTGAGGAATTGGTCCTGGTGCTAATTCCTCAGATTTTACGATTTGAAGGGATGGCCCTGGGATTAGCATAGTTTTTACAATTTGAAACCCTGTCAACTCCATTGTTTCCAAAATCTGGTGTTTTGGCTTTATGATTAATTTCGTAGATTTCGCATCTTGCAAACATGGCCCTGAGTGGTGCTCTGAAGGTCTCACATGTTGCAGTTTTGGAGTCAACTCAATATATTCTACCATTTGAGGGGTTGGCCTTGGTATTGTCACAGACTTTACAATTTGAAATGGTGGTCCAGGGGTCACTTTCACAGATTGAACAACTTTTGGGACATCTACGAGGATTACCTCTTCAGACTGAGCAACGTGAAGCTGTGTCCTTGCAGATTCTGTGACTTGATCTAGTGGCTCTGGACTAATCCTCATAAATTCTACAATTCTACCCAGTGGTCCTGGGGTTGTCCTTGGAGATTTCATACTTTGATTCTTTGACTTTGTTAGCCCCATTGATACCTCCCTGTGCTGCCGTGCCTCAGAGGTGAGCTCTACAGATTCTTCATGTCCTATAACTTGACTTGTTTGCTTCAGGGGCACCTCTAAAGATTCCTCCCTTTGTAGCCATTGCTTACAGGTCAGATTTACAGATTCTGGGACTTGATGTCCTAACCCTAATATTATCCCTGGAGATACCACATGATGCTGTGGTTTGGGGGTTAATTGCAAAGTTTTCTCTACCTGCACTCCTGACTCAGAAGTCAACTCCACAGATTCAGGAACTCGATGTCCTAACCCAGGTATCATCCCTGAAGCAGAATCTGGGACGTGATGTAATGACTTTGGAATCAATACCACAGATTCTTCCCTTTGCAGTCTTTTCTCAGAGATCGCCTCCACACATTCTAAGTTTTGAGTACAGAGCCTTGGGGATCTCTCTGCAAATCCAGTGGCTTGACTTGTTGGCTTTGGGGTCATTCCAAAGAATTCATTTGCATGTATCCTTGCCTCAGTGGTCAACCTCATAGCTTCTGTAAAGTAATGCTTGAGTTCCGGAGTAATCCCTTCATACTCCACAGTTTGCTGCAGTGGCTTCATATATAACTCCCCCAAATCCTTGACTTGGGCCCGTGGCCGAGAGAGCAATTCCATAGTTTCTAGGATTTGGTAGCTTTTCTCTGGAGTTAATCCTAAGAATTTTGAGCCTTGATCCCTTACCATTGGAGTCAGATCAACAAATTTTGGTACCTGAAGATCTGGCTGCAGCAGCATCCCTAAGGATTCAATGGCTCTACCTGTTATCTTTGGGGTCAACCCCACAGATTTCTCTACAGTATCTATGCCTTTATGTGCCAATCCTTGCACTATTTCTGAAGATTCTGTGGCATGATAAATTGGTATTGAAATCAAATTTGCAGATTTAGGGACTTGATACATTGGCTGTGGAATCATCTCTGCATATTTTGTAAACTGATGCCCTGGTCTAGGGATTATTTCAGAGGATTCCATGATTTGATAATTTGTTTTTGGAGTTTGCTCCCCATATTTCACTCTTTGAAGCAGTGACCCTGGTGCTAATTCCACAGATTTTATAGCTTCCTGCAGAGACACTGAAGATAATTTAACATGTTTTATGCTTTGCGACTTTGGCTCTAGAGTAAACTCCAAAGATTTCACACCTTGTTGCTGTGATTCTGGAGACAAATTTGAAAATCTGACACTAGTCAACAGTGGTCCTGATGGGAACTTCCTAGTTGACTCTGGTGCCAACATCATTGATTCATCATCTTGCCATCCTGAAGTCAACTCTTGATAATTTATACCTTGCTGTTGGGCCCCTGGTGTCAGTTCCATAGGTTTTACATCTTGAGAACATGGCTCTGATGCAAAGGCCGCAGATTTAACACATTTTGACCCAAAGCATGATGTCAACCCTGAAGAATTTACACTTTGAGGTTGTGGCCATAGAGTTGACTTCACAGATTTCACATCTTGAGAACATAGCTGTGGTACAAATACCACAGATCTCATACTATGCTGCCTGAGGTGTGAATGCAACTCCTCAGAATTCATACCTTGGGGATACTGTTCTGGTTTTAACTCCACAGATGTCACTTTTTGAAAACATGGCTCTAATGTAAATACCTCATATTTTATGTCCGGCAGCTCAGAGGCTGAAATCATTTTTGCAGAATTTGCATCATAAAGCAATGGCTGTTTGTTTATCTCCACGGATTTTACATCGTTAAGCAGTGGCTCTGGTAAAAATACCACGGATTTCATACCATTTTTCTGAGGACCCAAAGTGAACACAGGTTGTACAACTTGCTGTGAGCCAAGGTGCTTCTCCAAAAATTGGACTTCTTGAAACTTAGTTCCTGGAGTTAACTCAGAAGATTTCTTACCTTGCAAGTGTGGTCCAGGATTGAACAGAATAGATTTTGTACTTTGAGATTCTGACCCAGGGTTCAGTTCAGAGGGTTTCATGCTTTGTATCTGTGGCCCTGGATTAAAGTTGATAGAATTTATGCATTGAAATTTTGACTCTGAATTCAACTCAGAAGAATTCATACCTTGCAGCTGTGCGCCAGAGTTGAACTCTTTTGGTGTTATATCTTGGAATTTTGTCCCTGGAGTCAGTTCATATTTTATATCTTGTAAATGTTGCACAGAGTTGAACACAACAGATTTTATACCTTGAAGCTCTGGCCCTGGATGCAACTCAGAAGATTTCATAACTTGAAATTTTGTCCCTGATTTTACACCTTGCAAGTGTGGCTCAAGTTTGCTCTCTGTAGAATTTATACATTGTAATTTTAGCCCTGGATTCAACTCAGAAGAATTCACATACTGCACCTGTGGCCCAGGGTTACATTCCATAGGTGCTGCACATAGAAACTTTGACCCTGGAGTCAATTCAGATTTTAAACCTTGCAAATGTGGTATAGGGTTGAATATCATAGGTGTCTCACTTTGAATTTCTGTCCTTGGGTTCAATTCAGAACAATTCATACCTTGAAGTTTTGAAACTGGAGTTAATTCAGGCGATTTCATACCTTGTAAATATGGCTCTGGGTTGCACCCAATAGAATTTACACGCTGGGCTTGTGACTGTGGAATGAATGCAGAATTCACACCTTGCAAATGTAGCCCTGGGCTACACCCAGTAGGATTTACACACGGAAGTGGTGGCTCTGGAATGGATGCAGAAGAATTCATGCCTCGCAAATTTGACCCAGGGTTGCACCCACTAGAATTTACACACTGAAGTTTGGGACCTAGAATGGATGCAGAATAATTCACACTTTGTGGATGTGGCCCAGAATTATACTCAATAGAATTTACACACTGAAGTGGTGGCTCAGGAATAGATGCAGAAGAATTCACACCTTGCAAATTTGGCCCAGGGATGCACCCATTAGAACTTATACACTGAAGTTTAGGTGCTAGAATGGATGCAGAATTTACACCTTGCAAAGGTAGCCCAGGGTTGCACCCAGTAGAATTTACACACTGAAGTGGTGGCTCTGGAATGGATACAGAAGAATTCACATCTTGCAAACATGGTCCAAGGCAGAACCCCTTAGATTTTATACCTTGAAGCTCAGGCCCAGGAGTCAACTTGGCACATTTTAATCCTTGCAATTGTGGTCCAGGGTTGAAATCTAAAGATTGTGTACCTTGAAGCCTTGTTCCTAGGCACAACTCAGAAGATTTCACACTCTGCAACTGTTGCTGAAGATTGAGTTTCATAGATTTTACATCTTGAAGCTTTGTCCCCGTGCATAATTCTGAAGATTTTCTATGTTGCAGATGTGACTCAGGATTGAACACCATAAAGTTTACACTTTGAAGGTCTGGCCATGGATTCAATTTATGAGATTTTTCATCTTGCTGCTGCTTTTCAGCATTGAACTCAGAAGGTGCCACACTATGAATCTTTGATTCCAAGGCCAACTTAGAGAGTTTTGCAACCTGCAATTCTGGGTCATGGTTGCCCTCTGTAGAGTTCACTGTCTGAAGCTTTATCAACCCAGATTTCATATCTTCCAACTTTGCCCCAGGATTGAATTCTACAGATTTCACACCTTGAAGGTGTATCCCTGGTGTCAACATAGATAATTTTCTATCTTGTAACTGTGAAGTTGAGTTTAACCCCAAAGATGTTGTATCCTGTACCTTTGTACCTAGAGTCAATTCAGAAGATTTCACATCTTGCCGCATTGGCCTAGGCATGAGCACAGATTTCACTTTTTGAAGATTTGTCACTGGGATCACTTCAGAAGATTTTATACCTTGCAAGTGTGATCCAGAACTGAACTCCATAGATTTTACATCTTGAAGCTCTGTCCCCATGATTGAGTTAGAATATTTTGTATCTTGCCACTGTGGGCCTGAGTTGAACTCCACAGATTCCCCACCTTGAAGTTTTGTCTCTGGTGTTAACTCAGAAGATGTCACACCTTGTAACTTTGGACCATGGTGGAATTCTACAGATTTTACATCTTGATGGTTTGTTCCCTGAATCAACTCAGAAGATTTTTCACTTTGTATCTGTTGTCCAGAATTGAAATCCATTGATTTCATACTTTGAAGCCTTGTCCCTGAGGTTAACTCAGAAGATTTTATACCTTGAAAGTGTTGTCCAGAACTGAACTTCACAGATTTTACATCTTGAAGCTTTATACCCATGATCAGATCAGAAGATGTTATATCTTGTAACTGTGGGCCTGATTCCAGCTCTACAGATTTCACACCTGGAAACTTCCTCCCCAGGGTCAAATCAGATTTCTCACTTTGTAACTTTGGACTATGTTTCAATTCTACCGATTTCACACCCTGAAGCTTTTCCCCTGGAATCACTTCAGAAGATTTCACACTCTGTAAGTGTGGTGCAGAACTGCGATCCATAGATTTAATGTCTTGAAGCTCTATACCCATGATCAACCTAGAAGATTTCAAATCTTGCAACCATGGGCCTGAGTTGCATTCCATTAATTTCATTTCTTGAAGCTTTGTCTTCAGTATAGACTCAGAAGATTTCACTCCTTGCAACTGTGGCCCAGGTTTGAAGTCTGTAGATTTGACACCCTGAATCTTGGTCTTTGTGGTCAAATCAGAATATGGGATATCTTTCAATTGTGAACTGGGGTTTAACTCTATAAACTTCATGTCTTGGGACTTTGTCTTAGGGTTCAACTTAGAAGATTTGACACATTGCCATTGTGGCCCAGAGTTGAACTCCTCAGATTTCATACCTGGAAGCTTTGTCTGATGAGCCAATTCAGATGATTTCATGCTTTTCAAGTGTAGTAAGAAGTTCGGCGCTATAGTTTTATCACTTTGTAATTGTAGCTCTTGGCTTAATACTCCAGATTTCACCCCTGAAAACTGTGGCTCTTGTGTAAACACTGGAGACTTCACATCTTGCAGCTGTGTTCCTGGGTATGCCTCCATGGGTTTCACTTTGTGCAACTGTGGTCTTGGGGTCAACTCAGAAGATTTCACATCTTGTGAATGAAGCCCAGGTTTGAATGCCACAGATTTAATATTACACAGCTTTGATGTTGAAATCGGGCCACATGATTTCACACTTCTCAACTGTAGCCCAGATTTCAAATCAATAGGTTCAAGCCCTGGCAACTGATGTTCCTGGAGTGATGTCAAAGGTTGTATACTTTGGAGCTTTTGCCTTGGAATTGACTCAGATGACCTCACATCTCTTAATTGTATTGAAGGTTTCAATTCTACAGTTGTGACAACTCGAGATTGTGAACCACATTTTAGCACAGATTTCACACCTTGGAACTCAGGTCCTGGTATCCACTGCAGAGAGCTCATACTTCCAAGCTGTGAGTCTTGGTTTAACTCCACATCTTTTACACCTTGAAGCTGTGGCTCTGAGGTTGACACCAGAATTTTCCCTTTCTGCAACTGTGGTCCTTGGGACATCTTAGGAGTTTTCACACATTGCAACTGTGGCCCAAAGCTAAAATCCACAGATTTTGCATCTTGAAGTTTTGGTCCTAGAGTCAGTTCAGATGATTTTACACTTCCCAACTCTGTGGAGGATTTTAACTGTGCAGGCTTGACACCTCGAGACTGTGAACCAAGATTCAACCCTACAGTTTTTACACCTTGGAACTCAGGTCCTGATATCCACTGCACAGATTTTGCACTTCCAAGCTTTGAGTCTTGGTTTAACTCCACAGTTTTCACACCTTGAAAATATGGCTGTGAGGTCGATGCTGGAATTTTCTCTTTTTGCAGCCGTGGTCCTTGGGACAACTCAGGAGCTTTCACAAAGTGCAACTGTGACCCAAGGTTAAACTCCATAGATGTTGTACTTTGAAGTTTTGGCCCTAGAGTCAGTTGAGATGACTTTACACCTCCTGACTCTATGGAAGATTTCAACTCTCCAGGTTTGACACCTTGAGATTGTGAACCAAGATTTAACCCTATAGTTTTTACACCTTGGAACTCAGGTCCTGGTATCCACTGCACAGATTTCACACTTCCAAGCTGTGAGTCTTGGTTTAGCTCCACAGTTTTCACACCTTGAAGTTGTGGCTCTGAGGTTGATGCCAGCATTTTCCCTTTTTGCAGCTGTGGTCCTGAAGACAACTCAGAGGTTTTTACACACTGCAACTGTGGCCCACGGTTAAACTCCATAGGTTTTGCACCTTGAAGTTTTGGCTCTAGAACCAATTTAGATGCTATCATATCTCCCAACTGTATGGAAAGTTTCAATTCTGTGGGTTTGACACTTCGAGATTGTGACCCAAGATTTAACCCTACAGGTTTTAGACCTTGGAACTCAGGTCTCGTTATCCACTGAACAGATTTCATTCTTC